CTCATTATTTTCTACTCTACTCAGTCAACCTCATGTTTTAGGGGCTGTTACTTATCATTCCCCTCTTTATGGAAAAAATTGTACACATCAAGATGAGGAAGAAAACACAGTTCCCACAGACAAATAATAAAAGGAATGTATTAGACCACATTTCAAAAGTATAATGGCATTTAGTTCGATCAGGGCTCCAATTCAATTTCTCTGTGATTCTGTTGACTTATTCTCCTGCATTGTGTCAGTTGAATCGACTTTTTTTTTCTTTCTCTGGTAGCAAAATTATTCTAGCCGTTTCAGTTTTCACTGTGCAGAAAGAGTGTTTGTTTCATCCAGGGGGTGAACAAAAGTGTTTAATTTCACTCTGATTAGACCAGTTTAGACCACATGCTCATTCCCCGACCAGTCACTGGACAAGGAAGGTGTGTTATGTTCATCATCCGCAGCCGGCTCACGGCCTACCCCTCCAGTCAATCTTACCTTAGCTGCACAGCTGCTGTGCGATAGGGTTGGGACGGATGGAAGCAGAAAGGCCACCAACCACGTGTGCCATACCCCTTGGAGAATCTATGGACTAATCAGCTGCAGGGGACAGTGTTGTGTTCTGCATATGTGGCTGCCGGTAGCCCGTTCCTGTGCCTAATGATGTGGTGAGATGGGAGAGCAGTTTCCAAAGACGTAGGCCAGGCAGCAACCCCAAGGTGTCCAAGACACCGAGAGAAGCACGTTCTTCTGCTTTGTCTAAAGGACACCCTTAAAATAGCATGACTATCAATGCAATGCCCTTGGAAGAAAAGGCTTTTAAAAATAGTACAAAAAAACTAAATCTGGGAACTTAAAAATCATACTTTTGTGAAGATCTCAGTCTGTTGTCTGCCTGATGATCATTTCTTTGGTTGGCCACTAGGTAGTAAAGCCAAAAAGGTGTTCTTGTTACTGTGATAGGTATGGGTCTCAGTCTACAAACTTATAGGAGGGACATCCATTTCTTTACTTTCTAGGGCACCTAGATGTAACTCTGAGACCCAGTTCCCTGGATTAGTAGGAAGCCAATTTCCATCATTATGGGGCCATCTCCTGTCCCTAAAGGCTGTACAAAGACGCCAAAGGGTCTTAACTGGCATCATTGCACTGGGGTGCCAAGTAGGTATTCTTTTGCTGTATCTTTCCTCATGGGCTTCTGCTCAACAGTTGTGGTCCAGGTCTACATGGCTCCTCTTGGTCCAGCAGGAATAGTGCCTCTGAGTGTTGGGGCAGGAACTTCTTAGGCAAGACTGGTCAGTCTGGTGCTCAGCACCCTTCCACATACCCCCAATCATCCCTTGTCTTTTCACACATTTTCAGCCTCCTTCACCTCTTCTCCCCACTTTTGTCTTCTAGTCCTTAAAAATACCATACCTCCTCCTTGTAAGAGTTAATAGTGTCAAGGCACTCTTAACACAAACTCTTCAAATTAGCTGATGCTTTCACGCAAGATGGGAACCTAGGTGCTCCAAAGAAATGGAATAGACTCTGCTACCTGCTTGAAGGAGAATAAAGGGTTAAATGTAGGCCACACCAGTGTAACCTGGGTATAAAGAAGTCTGACTTATCACATAATCAAACACAACTTAGGCCTTGTTTCTCCACCACTGTCCTTTTGTAGGGGTGGGGGAAGTTTCCTCTCTTGAAAACTGTCAGGTAGGTGATGTTTCTGGTCAGTCTCAAGCAACAACAATCTTACAGACCATTAGTGACAAAATGAGTCTCAATGCATTAATCAGAGTGCTCAGTCAGCCTTGTGAGCAATCAGAACTTCTGTTGGTTTTGTCATTAAATTTTTTCTCCCCAGGTGGGACCTGCCATAAAGGAGACCATATGGTCTAGCTTCTTTGCTCGCTGAGATATCTGGACCTGGGCATGGGTGCCGGCAGCTGGAGTTCACAGCACCATTTTGTCTAAAGAAATCCTCCAAAATGCTCTCCCTGTCATGACCCTTTAATAAGTGGACTAAGACCTTTCCTTTGTAAGTTCCGCACCCCAAACTGACACTCTGCTACACCAGCATCTACTTTGGGCAGAGTCCCTTCTGCCTGATTCATTCAAAGCCGTGCACACAAGGTGATCTTTATTCTTAAGAGGTTAAAGCCTGGAGTTGGAGGTTAATCCAACTTCCTCCAGAGGTGTCTCGCCTGACCACCTTGGCACCTCTGGGCTCTGCCACGTGTGGCTGTACCATTATTTAGTAAGAGGTGTCCCCACTCTGTGCTTCTGAAACTAGAAAAGCCAGCATTCATGCTTCCTGTCATTACCGGAACCAATAAGCAGAGACAGGGGTTGAAACCTTATGGGCACTTTATTCAGATGGCCAGTGATCTGAAGATGGCAGGTTATGTACCCTAACAGACCATCTTACGTTCCATTTGAAACCGACCCTTTTTATGAGAAGAAAATGTAGGTAAGAAATTTGGAATTCATAGAAAAGGCTAATCAGATAAAAAGCTGCTGCATTCTTTCATCTGTTGATCAGTGATTCTTTTTTTTTTTTTAATCTATTTATTTTTAGAGAAGTGAAGGGAGGGAGAAGAGAGGGGGAGAAAAATCAGTATGTGGTTGCCTCTCGTGCGCCCCCTTCTGGTGACCTAGCTGGCAACCCAGGCATGTGCCCTGACTGGGAATCAAACTGGTAATTCCCTGGTTCGCAGGCCAGCACTCCATCCACTGAGCCACACCAGCCAAGGCTGACTGGTAATTTTTTACCTGTGTCCTGGGCCGTGAGTGTCTCTCCCTGGAACACAGTGGCTCAGATACTATCTTGATGGCTTGCAGTCCTCCTGGGGCACAAAGGTAGAACTGCTTATGGTCTCCTGGAGTCAAGGTGGGTTATACTTTCAGCTCCTGAAACAATAGCTTTTTACAAATATTAACTACTAAGCTTGTTGACTATTACCTAAAACTAAAATTGTCCAACTCTTGAGCCCCCCATCACTTCCACACACGGGCACCTGAAGTCATCCTGTGGAAACATGTTCTCTAACCATCAGAATTTGTCTTTCATAGATGTTCATTCTGATCACAGCTGTACGACCTCGGACTATTCTGAAAGGGAAACATTCCCACAATCTTCTAGGGGTCCAGGGCTCCTATCCAGCATGAAACCCATATTTTATTGCCCTTTCCTTTGACTTTTTCCACATGAATTAGCCTAAATAAATCCAGTCACCCCTTGGGGGAGGCAGTTTCATTTGTAATCGTCACAGTCTTACATCCCATCAGCCTGCACTGTTCATATCTCCAATACACGCATTTGTGTTCTCAGCAAACATGCAAGTCATCAGGAGAACTGAGGAGAAGGGCTCTGCCTTCCGTGAGTCACAGCAGTTTTCTGGATAAAGGTGTTGGAGCACCTTCCCGAGAGCCAAGTGCTGTGGCTACAGGACCTGGGGGACCTGGGACTGGTCAGGAGTTTCAGAGCCTGAAGTGAGAATACAAATTTCCTATCAATATCCATTTAAACGACTTAAAAAACGACCCTGGGACTGATTGCTCTTGGATTGCAGAGGCCGGATAGAATCTTCATTCTGTTATTATTTCAGCCATCAGCATGCAGGCTTGCTAAGAGATGACAGGAGAGCACCGAGAGGGTTTTTGTCTGCAGATCCACACCCTGAAACCACCAGCACTGACTTTAGCAAGGAAACAGATACCAGATAACCATGCTCCTGAGTGACCTCACTGAGAATGTGGTACCCTAACTCACTAAGGGTTTCTGGAACCCTGAATTCTCAGGACAGGTCGATGTTACAGGTCTCAGAGGGAGAAAAAAATACTGTGTCATACGGAGGCATTTTTCTAATAATTCTGAAGGTTATTCTCAAATGAAAAAATTATATGTTGCTACTCTGGAATTCCCGAAGTCCAAGAGATCCTGACTCAGCAAGGATGCCATTTTCCAGGAGCTGGTGTCCCCAAGGACAAAGGGCAAAGTTTTTTTGGTGAAAGAAGTCCTACCGTTTAGGTAATTAACACAGCCATCCCCCTGCCTTTTCTTTTCTTTTTTTTTTTTTTCTGGTGCAAATAATTCAGCTTCACTCTCTTCGTAACTTTCAAGTATGTAACACAGTGTTGTCAACTATGGTCACTGTGCTGCAGACCTTATTCATCTCGTAGCTAAGAAGTTTGTACCTTTTTACCAGCCTCTGTTCTCCTAGCCACTGGCAACTACTTTTCTATGCTGTTCTATGAGTTTGACAGCTATTTTCCTTATATATTTCACATATAGTTGATACCATACAGTATTTGTCTTTCTCTGGCTTACTTCACTTGATGTAATACCCTCTACGTATATTTGTATTGTTATAAATATCAGGATTACATTTTTTGTTTGTTTAAAATAAATGGCCCTGGTTGGTGTGGCTCAGTAGGTTGAGCACCAGCCTGTGAACCAAAAGGTTGCCTGTTCAATTCCCAGATTAGGGAATTGCAAGAGGCAGCCAGTTGATGGTTCTCTCACACATTAATGTTTTTCTCCTTCTCTTTCACTCTCCCTTCCCTTCTCTCTAAAAATAAATAAATAAAATTAAAAAATAAACGAATGAAATAAAATAAATAATTAATGTACAGTTGCAAAATTCTGAATGCTTTGTGGTTGTCAGTTCAGCTCCCCATCTTCCAGTACATTTATCTGGAGTCTTGGGAATGAAGAAAACACATCCAAACCAATGCAACCCAGGAATCAGAGCTAAGTAAGTCCCGGCAAACAGACTACAATCCAGCCTCATCCTACCCCTGGTTCCTGTTGCCTCCTCTCCTCTGTTCTCTGAAAAGTCTCTTGACTTCTAGAACTGAGTGCAAGTCTCACCTCGTTCTTGGAACTTCCCAGACTCTCCTTTTCATCTTAGTCTTTATCTGTTTCACCTTTGGATTTTGGTGAAGTGTACTGGACTTTGTATCAGCAGGCAGGGCACCTACCCCTAAAATGACAGCTGTGGTTGACGCTGACACTGGAGCTTGGGTCAATGAGTTGGTCATGTTTATTTTCTGTCCTTGGGGCGTAACAGGTGCATGTTAAGGCAACATGCAATCATACAGCCAATTACAAATGGATTTGGCCCTGGGCAAGTTCATGGATGTATCTTGCAAGGTGCAAGAAGATTTAAGGTAAGTTTTAAAAGAAACAAAAAAAAGTTGAGTGTGTTTTAAAAAAAGAGAGGTGGGGGGACAACTTTTGAATTAATTAAAACTAATTAAGTTGACAAAAACATGAGATTTAAAAACTACTTTCCACTAATCAGACAATTTCTGTGTCTTAGCTTTGATGGAAAGCTTTGTTCTTACTCCATCCTTAATATCAAAAGCAGAGATTGTGTTTCTTGTAAACTGAGTTAGAGAATGACTTTGATTGCCATTCACAACATTAACGATTTTTACACACCTTTTCTGTATCCATCACGGGGCAATACTATAATTCCAAGGCAGAGGAAGTCAAGAATGCTCTTCAGCTTTCATTCATAGGATGGCCAGTGTCTAAAATCTAGCAAAATGAGAACTGTTGTTCTGTCATGGTGACTTATAAGAGTAATAATGTGGTCATGAGTTACTTAAGGTTTTATGATGAAAATTTCCATATACTTCCATAGGAGTCAAGGTGAAAACTTCCAGAAGTAATATATTCCGAGGTACTTACTTTTTCAAGCACAAGCATGCCTTCAAATGTCTGTGGTGTAATGTATTTGCATAATTTAATGCAAACAGATATCCCATTTTTACTGACTAGGTTATTTGAAGAGCTGAGCTACCAGGTGTGGAGATGCTCATTAAGATCAGCCAAACTGAAAGTAAGTCTTCTTTAATCACTAATTGCAACAGTAAAAACAAGAGGCTAATAGGGAGAAGTGCCAGCTCTCCCAATGTTCCATTTTCCCCATGGATTGGCATGAGGAGAAAGTCAGCATGGACATGGGGTATCTTACTGCAGAAGGTCTGGCTGTTCTATGGACCCAGGGGCACGGGGCAGGGCAGTGCACCAGATCTGGAGTGGGGAGGGCAGCTTCCCCGGTGAGGTGAGGCCTGCCGGGAAAAGCTTTGTAGATTGCCTATGGTTGGACCTGAAAATCACACATTGCTTTTTTCTTTTTGTATTTATTGTTTTAAACAGAAGAAGAAGAAGGGGGAGGGGGGAGAGAGAGAAACATCAATTTGTTGTTCCAGTTATTTATGCATTCTTTGATTGCTTCTTGTATATGCCCTGACCAGGGATCGAACTTACAACCTTGGCATATCAGGACGATGCTCTAACCAACTGAGATACCCGACCAGGGCTGCAGACAGAGCTGCACATTGGGTTTTAACTGGGCTCAGGACTTCTCAGTTTATTGGGTTACATCTGGCCTGTAGGGTGCTTTAGTTCTGAGTTCTATTAAATACTAGTGACCAGGAAGCTTGAACCAACTGAAAGGAAAGGGGAATTTATTAGAAGGGTATTGGAACATTTTAAATAATGGGAGGAAGAGGATGGAATCAACCAGAACCGGAGTCTTGAACACAGCCGGGGCTCTCCTGCCAGCACCTCTCTGCATGTTAGCTTAGTTCCTCTTCTTGTGGCTCGTCTGTCTTCGGCAAAAGGGAGTCTTCACTGGAAAGTTACTGGGCTGGCTCAGGTAACGAAGGGAATATGGCTAATAACAACAACATCAGAGCTTCATATACTGTAGCTCTACCATTAGCCCTATCTTTCCCAGTTCTAGTTAAAGAAAAACAACAAGTCTGATTGGCCCTTATCTGGATCAGTCACTGTGGATGCGGACCAATCACTCTGCTCTCATGGCAGTGACTTGGCCATTGGGCCCCACCCTATCGGGCAATGTTCCCAGAGAAGAAAGGATTATTAGCCAGAAAGAGGAATGTGTCCTTAAACACATGAAAAGAAATGTCATTTCGGTACTCTATCTAAAATCATAAAGGAAGAAGAATTATTGAGAAAACTTGGCAAACAGCTTTACATCTGCCAAAATACTTATTTTATAAATAGAAGAAACATCAAAAGTCACTACGTGGTTCATTAACTTTGTTTTTATAACTTTCTATTTTTTAAAATATTTTATTTCTTTTTTTATCTTTAGAGAGAGGGGAAGGGAAGGAGAAAGAGAGGAAGAAAACATCAGTGTGTAGTTGCCTTTCACATGGTCCCCACTGGGGACCGGGCCCGAAACCTAGGCATGTGCCCTGACTGGGAATTGAACTGTGACCCTTTGGTTTGCAGCCTGTGCTGTTTTTATAACTTTTTAGTAAATTCATTGATCAGCCAGTTGGGTTTTTTGTTTTGTTTTGTTTTTTGTTTGTTTTGTTTTGTTTTTAGCTCTTGCACTGTCTCTCTCTCTTCCCCTTTACACACACACACACACACACACACACACACACAGACACACACACACAGGCACACTGCCCACTGTGCAAGTTCCAGGAGCCAAACTGAATGAAAGGTGAACTTTCTGTTGTTGGAAGGAATCACATTTTCTCTTTCCCTCTTGATTTCCACCTTCCCTGTGCTACAGTTTTATTTAAGTAGCCGGTATCATTAATTCAGTAAGTATGTCTCTGGAAATAAACACACCTTTTCCAACCTCAAGATTTTCTGGAAGGTCCTAATTTTATTCTATTTGCCCAATGAGGAAGTTAAGTTTAAATTAGTGCGCTATAGTCCTACTAGACTGGGAGGAACCACAGTAGCTCTAGTTCATGGTGAAGAGCAGCTGCCGCTCACATGACATAAAACTTCATCGCTGTGCATGATGCCATCCTGGGCCATTTATTTATTGATGTTCTGTCTCATTCCAGTAATGGACTAAGGGGAGCAAGCTTCAGTTTTGTAGAATAATACTCTTTTAAAAGACAACAATCTTTCACATGAGACTAAGTGTTATGTGGTGAAAAATCATTTCTGCTCCATGTTGTTCCTTTTCTGAAGATGCCTCTCTCCAGCTTCCTTTTTACCCTCCAATCCAAAAAAAAGGCAAACCTCCTCCCTGGGAAATAATTATTCCTCTTTTCTCATACAAGAAAACAAAAACTTGTCTTTCTGACCTCTTTCAACGTAAAATGTAATTGATCTCCAATGCAATTGGGGCTATTCCCTGTTTCCAGCGACTTCTTTTATACCCGTCATCAGCTGTGCCCCCTTTGTGTGTCTCCTGATATCAAACATGAAATTTTCCACTACTGGGCATTTGATGTCACATTAACCTACTTTCCTGCCATCTCTGGCCTTTAAGGTGTAACTGACATCCCAGGGCTTGAAATCGCCTCACCTTGGGGAGCAGGTATCAAGTTATCTTTCTACAGCTCAAAGGGTCCCTCAGGACCTAAGTTGCTGCCACCAGGCTTCTCTAAGGAATTTGAAATTCTGTTATACTGTTTATGAAACAAAATTTTACCTTTCCATGAGAAAATGCCACTGTTTCATGTGAATTTTAGAGTGGCGGCGAGCACAGGGAAGTTACTCTGCCTCAGGTTTCCTCGTCGCCTCTGAAATGACAGAAGAACTGATCTCACAGGTCGTGGCGAGGTTGAAATGAGTCCATCCACGGGTTTTTATGGAGATTTCTTTTCACGGACAGGATTGAATCATCAGCTTTGGCCACTCATTCAACCTCCAGCCCCTCTCCTGTCTCCTGAGGTCGGGGGTGGGGGTGGGTGGGGGGTGGGCCTGAAAGTTCCAACCCTCTAGTCTCAAGGTAGGCTCCCCTGACAACCCCCTCCCCCAACCTCTTCCTTAGATGCTTTCCAGAAGTCCCTCCATTAACATAAACTCTGGTGTGGTTTACAAGGTTTTGTTGTGAATATGAAGACACTTCTATCACTTAGGAAATTCCAAGGGTTTACAGGCCCTGTGCCAGGAACAGGGGTAAAGACCACATATGTATATTTCTTATCATAAATCACGACATTACACCTTGTTCACCTGCCTCCCAAACCTCCCTTAATGATGTAGTCCCTCATTTAATTTATGCTAGTTTGAGTTTGGTGTCCGTCATCTGCAACCACAAGAACATTGTCAAATGCAAACGGGATGTGATTGACTGGCGCCTCACACACGTGGGTGGGCTTGGGTGGGGAGACTGAGGTGGGAGACAGTGAGGGGCTATTACAGGTGAGCCTTTTAGAAATGGGGTGGGGGCAGGCCCAGGAGACACTCGCTTATGAGAAGTCTCTTTGTAAGCATTTATTTCACCCCACAGCAAGCACAAGGCTTCTGGGTCAGAGGCAGACCGCTACCTACTTACAAAATCACCTTCACACTGTAATCCCATCCCCATTGTGCCCCTCAGAGATGCAAGGGCCTGGAATTAAGGTAGATGGCTTTTTTTGACATACAGTGAGTGACCTTACAATAGGCAGAAACCCGCAAATTATGAAATTTAGAGTTAACATAGGAACTGCCTTACCACATTGCTGGCTTCCCGCCAGTGTGCTCTCCACCTCTCTGTGCCCTCCCCGCCCCTTCTACTGCCAAGGAGAAAAAGAAACTCCTGCTTTCTAAAGGAAACAGATCTTCTCAGGGAAGAGAAGGGGGTGGTTCCTCAGCATCACAATGAATGTAAATGAAGATAAGGGATTGGCTAACAAATGGCTCCAGGGCAGATAAATCTGCTTCTCTCTCTGAAGTAATCTGCTACGTCTCTTGCAGGTACCACCGAGGTGGCTAGAAAATATTGCTCAGAAAACCCTGGCCAGCCAGGTACACAAAATATCCACCTCGTTTCCTGACACCAGGTGGAATTGATAGGACCTGGTGCATGAATTTGGGTGGTGAGATTGGCATTAGTTTGTAGGGCGACCCTGAGGGCCCTGGCTAAGGAAGTGTGTGTGGTTGAGGGGGGAGGGCGCAGATGTGGGAAGAGACTTGGGAGAGCGGGGCTCCACGGGGCAGGGAAGGGAGAGCCAGGGAGGACATACGGTGCCTCCATCTTGGGACCAGCTGAGTCTGAGGTGCTTGATGGTCATGTGGATGGAGACGCATGGTCAGCAGCTGGGAACCAGGGTCCGAATCACAACAGCAGACCTGGGCTGCAGACACAGCCTGGGAGTCCTTCACAGGCTGTGGGCATGATGCCAGGGGAACATGCAGCACCGACCTGAACAGGATACAGGACAGTTCAACTGGCAGTGTGAATAGAGCAGAGGAGAGGCTGGTACACCTGTCAGGCATGTACATGCCACTCGGCCTGGGGGACTCGACTGAACACTCGTGCCCTCCCCAACTGCAGGTCTAGGGCAGCACAGCCACCCCACCCTGGAAACAAGGGGAAAATCCATCATTCCCAGAGCGGTCCAGTAGAAGGTGCCCTAAAGCATCTTCAGACTTTCTAAAACAGCCGTGTACAGGCCTGTGTGTCAGAATCAGCTGGAGGAATGTCTTAAAAAACTCCCAGTGACAGGTTCCACTTGCAAAGATGCCGATTCAGATGGGTCTGTGGGTGTGCCTGATGGCTTCCGGATTTTTATCTCCCCAGGAGATGCTAATGTGCATGTGGGTTTGTACCACTCTTCTAAAGGTTTGGGCACATGATTATGGTCTCCCTACAAGAGCAACTAAATAAAGAATGAAGGGGTCACTGCTGTGTTTTTGCAAAGGTATTTATTTACCTTTGGGATTAGTAGCAAGTAAACTATGGGCATTGGGCTCCTACCCTAAGTTACCGCTTGTGTAAGCGGTGCACTCATGGGCGTTTGTACACCAACATGTGAGACTGCACCTTCACTGAGCCCACTGGGTAATGATGAACACTTAGCAACACCTCCTACTGGCACAGAGGAGGAGAAGCTTGTAGAAGGCATCAAGCAGAGGAAAACAGAGACCCTGTTGTTTTGTCTACCATTTTCCAAAAAAAGCTGACAAGCAGCTGGTCTAACAAAGGATGATCATTGTTATACTGTAGCAAGAGCCATCAGGAACTACAGGATATAAAGAATGATTAAGAGAAGTAACAAACTGTATACGTACCATACTTTACAAAGAACTTACAGATATTCGTTCTTACTTGAACTCAACCCACCCAGAGAGGTGAGCAGAGCAGGTACTACCAACCCCCCTCTCCCCCCGCCCCGGCCACTCAAGTCAATCAGCTGTTTGACCGTCGGTGACAGGCTGACTCTCAGGTGTTCTGAGCCCAGGGGACCATGCAAGTCCAGGCTTCTCACCAAAACCCTGAAATGTTAATAATTAGCATGGCTGCCAATGCCTTCTATTCTGTCAAGTGTCTATTGGACGCAGAAGGCGAACAGATGGCAGAGGGTGCAGAAGGGCTGGCAGGAAGCACCGGGGCTGAGACTCGGCATGAGGAAGACACACACAGGGCTGGGCGGCAGGAGATGGGGCCCTGTCTCATGCTGTGGTCTGAATGTTTGTGTCCCGCCAAAAATCCTTAGGTTGAAATTATAATGCCCAAGGTGATGGTATGAAGAGATGGGGCCTCTGAGAGCTGTGCGAGTCAGGAGGGTACAGCCCTCAGGAATGGGTTTGTGGCCTTGTGAAAGAGACCTCACTGAGCTCTCACCCGTCCTGCTATGTGGGGTCACAGTGACAAATCTTTGACCTGAAAGAGGGTCCGCACCAGAACCTGACCATGATCGTAGACTTCCAGGTTCCAGAACTGTGAGAATTTTGGTGGTTCATAACTCACCCAGTCTAGGGTGTTTTTGTTACAGCAAAAGCCTGCCTGGACTAAGATACTCCATGCAGTCACTCCATGCTGCTCCTGCAGGGAGGTCATTGCAACACTTTTGCCTTCAGTGCCCTACTGTGAGGTTACCTAGCCTCTTTCCTGTTCTAGATTCGCAGGCTCTCTAATTCCTGTTCATCCAGTCGAAGTGTACATGGTGTTACAGGGATGATTAGAGGCTTTGCAGGTACCAGAATACCAGCGTCAAACAAGTCACAATCACTGTAAAGAATAACAAAAAGTTTATCAGGGACTTTGGTGTGTATTTATATCCATAGCTTTGAAAATAGTTTTTTGGGGTGAGGGGAAGGCTTGCAGTTTCTCCTTCCTCTAAAGAGCTTTAGCTGGAGCCGCCGGGCCTCTGCTCCGTCCTTCCTGTCCACCTCCCGCCTGCTCCTCAAGTTCCACGGAGCAGGGCCACCAGCATGCCCACCTCCACAGGTTCTCCGTCATGTGGAAGGCTGGTATCAAAGTCTCAAAACATAACTGCAACTGGCTTTAATTATGGTGTCAAGAGCAAATGAAGAGGTCATGGAATTTCAAAACAGCTGAAAAATCCCCAACCATTTCTACCAGTGCACACATTTTTATCCCCTTGTCCTCCAATTGGGGAGGTCTGCAAAAAGTAAAATTTAAAAGAGGGTGAACATGAGAAAGCACACAGTTTTTCACACCTGTGGCCTGATTACTTTTAGCTTTTATGGTCTTACTTCCTTTTTGGTTCTGGTCTCATTTTCCTGAGTGCTTTGCTTCACTGTTTTAGCATTGATCTGTTTTACTTTATAGCAAGTGAAATCCCAAACGCACAAGGTCTTTGTCATTTAAATGATGTTGTGTATCCTGTCATGGTTTATGGCACATTCTTTCATAAATTCCTCCGCCATCCTGCAGCCAGACCAGAACCATGAGAAGGCAGGTGGTTCTTTTCCCCATGAATGGCGCCCATATTGCACCCTGAGTTACATTCACACCCAGGGAGCAGTTTCACCCAGATTTTTCTGTTCTAATTAGAGGTTTCCATGTGAAGCTTCAAAAAGACAAGAGACCAGGTATTGGAGTCAGCAGACCTTCATTGCTGTTGTTAGAAAAGGAGATTACTAAAATTTTAATTTTACAAACTTATCACTAATTATATTAAAAACAGAGGTAATACTCAAAATTCACTGGTCCCTATTATTTACTATACTTGATTCTTCTTACTGATGGTAGTTACACTTTAGAAAGTTGTCATGAACACTGAATGAAGGAATCCAATGTTAGAATCATTGTTCCTAGAAGAAATACAGGGTGAAGTGCCTGTGAGCCTCTGGTCACAATATCCTTATCAACGGACCAATATATAATCTTGTTTTATCTGTTGGTGCCCTAACATTGAACTCAAGGCCAATGGCACTGTAACTGATGCCTGAATGAAGCTTATCTAACACGTGTATTTTCCCCCTAAGGCACACTATAAGTCTTCTGGACCTTCAGAGAATTCGGTAAACACTTCGGCACTAGGCTTGGGGGTCATTTAACAGTGCAGTCACCAACAAAAGCACATGAATGGAGAAAATGTCGGAACATGGTACTGGGAAACTCAAATTTTTCATTGCGCTGCACGTGTCCATGAATGACTATGAAAACGTAGCAAGGACTGATTTGGGGGTTACAAATAAATTTTAGCAGGTTTGCAAATATGGAATCTGCAAGCAATGAGGAGCAACTATTTGACTATGCTCTTGAGGTCACTTACCTTCCTTGTATCTGTGGAAATAGAGCTGTGTGCAACAGTGCATTTCTTTCCAACACTTAAAAAAAAGTAATGACTTTAGAGAGAAGGTAGAGAAGAGAAACATCAATTTGTTGCTGCACATATTTATGCATTCATTGGTTGATCCTCGTGTGTGCCCCGACCGGAAATCAACCCCACAAACTTGGTGTATCAGGATGACAGGCTGACCAGCTGAGCTGCCTGGCCAGAGCCGGGCCCCGACTCTCGAGTGCAGTGCTGTCACTCTAGTTGCTTGAAACTGGCCCCACGGGGGTGTTCACACCATGGAGACTGGCAGTGCCACACGGCTTGATTTGTCGACTGCCTAGATTTAGGAAAACTATGGAGATAATGCCAATAACGCAGATTCAACTTAAAACTGTGTCACGTCTAAATGGTATGGTGATTGCTGAGGGGAGGGTGCTATAAAGGCAGTGAAATGGTATGGGAACAATACAATAAAGATCAAATTAAAAAAACTTGGGGAGGGCGCAGAATACTGATTACTACTAAAAAAAGGCTCCCTGTCTAGACCATGACACCAAGACTGGCGCAGCGAGTAGAAGAAATATTCCTACAGGATGCGGAAACTGTTATCCAACTCAGCAAAGAAGACACTCCGTCGTGGTGGACGACCGAGAGACAGCCTGGCTCGTGTCTGTTGTCCCAGCTTCATCTTAACCATGCACGTAAAAAAGCCTATTAATGTTCATGTCAGAGCTACATCCTTTTGTCAGTTGCTTGTAACAAGTATGACGAAAATCGACAAAAGCATTCTCTGAGAACAGCTGTCAAATAGAATTTACAGTGATGTATTTTGTTAGGATTTGTAAGTTGTGTCCATACACAACCTTTAGTTGGGAACAGTTCTAACTTAAATGCATTCACACCCAGAGACCTGGGGGTTAAGCAGCACATCCCTGCTTCTAGCTGAGTGGCCTCAATTCCTTAACCTCCCAGACCTCAATAGTTAGGTTTAAAACAGAGGAATAGATAGATACAGCTTCATAACAAGGTTTTGAGAACTGAATGCATTGCTGTTCCCGATATATAGTTTCCAGGGTAGAGACTCAGTGAAGGTCAGACCCCCTCTACTCACCTGGAAGACCGCAGCCGATCCAAGCCGCCCCTGGGCACTCCCGTCTAGTCTTCCCAGAGCTGGCCCTGGATCCCTTTATCCCCAGTAAGTCCCCTTAACTAAGTCAGGTGAAAACTCACCACTAGGTGGCACAAGCAAGATGCCTTTGGTGGCTTTCGTTCTTCAGACAATATGATTGATGCAGAACACTATGACACATTTTACTCTCACCAGCCTAGAGAGAAGGTAAATAAAATGTTTACAGTCTGCAGTCACGGTGCTGTGTGCAGACAGTTTGAGTCTGGTGATGAGCTTTGGCACCTGAGTGAAAATGTTACCCTGTGAGCCTCATTTTTGGACAAGCGAAAATGATTAAGCCCCGTCTTTGGCAGAATCAACTTCCCTTTGGCAAACCCTGTTTTCCTAGACACACGTGTCTTCTGGCCTCTGCCGGCTGCCCCACACTTTCCATAGTCGTGGCAGACGCGGGTGTGTCCAGCCTGATGGGAGGCCAGGAGAGCCCTCTAGCCCCCCACTTCCTGCCACATCTCCCACGATCAGTACTGTCAGGTTCTTCTGGAAGCTGGTGCTCTAAGGAGTGACTGTCCTGGCGGCAACCTTAGGCAGAGTGTGAAGGGCTGGGGACCTCCCAGCACTCCCCCGATCACCCAGGTCTGACCTTGAGCGTTCTTGGACAGGCCGCTTACCGTTTCTTCGGACAGTAGTTGACGAAGGGCCTCTCCCTGGAGCATTGGTGGGGTCTGCAAGGGCTCACTTGCCACCTATCGGTGGGATCGTTCACTCCCAGAGGCTTCCTCATTTATTAAACCACAGACACCCATTTATTTGTTTTTTAAATCGTCATCTGAGGAGATAGTTATTGATTTTTTTAGAGAGAGAAGGGAGGGGTGGGGAGGGAGAAAGAGAGAAACATCAATTGGTTGCCTCCCACAGGTGCCCCGACAGGGAATCAAACCGGCAACCTTTGGATGCACAGGACAACGGAGCAACCCTGCCTGGGCCACAGATACCCATTCAGAGGTCCCAACACTGTGGGAAAATCTCTCCACAGCTTTCCCTCTTAAAAGCAAAATACTAAACACCAACATTTTAGAATTAAAATAATAAAAATCAGCCTGGTTAGATTTCTGCCTGCCTGGAATTCACGAATAAAGATTTTGTAATAAAAAAGCTGTGCCTATAAACATAACTAGCTTCGTTTATTTCCACTAATCTCTTCTGTGTTCAGATGTCTCCATTAATTATTTTGAGGAATAATTTTACACATCTGGGATGGCTCTGGTCATTTTAATGAGGTCTTTTGGAAGCTATTCCGAGGCGAGTCAATATTGAACATGAAAGAAAACGTCAGTTTCCTGTTAAGTGCAGACGCCTCTCCCTGTCTGACACAGCACACGATGTTGTTTTGTGTTCTTGAATGAAATTCAATGCAGCAAAGGCAGAGTTGAAGGACTTAAATCATAGTGTAAGTTTACGGTCTTTGGATATAAGTCCAACGAATTGGCATTTAGACTGCCAAGAAAGGAACAGCAAATTCTTCGTAATAACTTTGAAACACATAATGGCTCAGATGAATGAAAAGGACCACAAGGTTGTTTTTTTCCCTTCAGAGTTTATTTTGAATGTTCGTTTTTGGATAACCAAGCAGCTCTTTAAGGAGAATGCACAGAAGAGTCATTCTGGCACTTTTGGATAGTACATAAGATTCTTTTTTTTAATAATCACACTTAGTCCACTTGCTCCATCCATACTCCATGTTAGGAGAGCAAGATCAGCCCATAGGATTCCAGCGTTAATACGTAACTGTATATACAAACAGACAATAAAACCATAATGGCGGCCGGGGGCCAAAGGGATGGAGGGGGGTCTCTAAGGTGTGCTCTAGTCTATCTTAGCTACACAGAATCCACGTCACACAGGAGAACGAGAGTACACTGCGCTGAAGTCGGAACTCTGCGCACCAACGGGCACTTGGCAGCATGCAGTTCAAAGAAAAGGGGCATTGTTTAATAACTTTATAAAATCCAGGCAGTTCTGTTACAGGAGTTAAGAAAAACAAAGAGTGTAAGTGAGGGACTGTCTGTTGTCACTGTAAAAAAGGCACTTGGAGTTAATGGGACCAGAATTGAAGGATTCTCAGCCGATAAAAAATTTCAGTACAATTCTATTAAAAGGCTTGGATGTTAAGAGATGACGCTCAGGAGTTCCTGAAAAGAGACACGGAAAGAAACCACCAAGAAGCAGAACAGATGAAGACGAAGGACTAGAATCTTGACAACCAAACCGGGTTTTATAAAAATAGTGAACCAGAAATGAAACCCAAGCAAAGCAAAAACCTCAGCAAAGTGAGAGCACAAAGCAGCAATGCATAGCTTCCCTTTGAGGTAATGAGTACCTCGAGACACTAAGTGCCAAGCTAATTTCTCAATCATAACTTCATAGGAGCATCATCATGATAAAACTGACTCGAGCAATGCAAAAAGAGTTTCATCTGTTCCCAGAATCTGAAGGAAAACTGAGGTTATCATTAGAACCCAGCAATATCACTTAGGGTTTTTCAGTGTCCTCAGAGCGGGGACACATCAAGTACATGGAAGGACATTCAGACACTACGTTCAGCCACCTCCCAGGTGGCGAGGCATCCCTTAACTAACCGTCTCCTTTCTTTGGAGTCACCGCTGTGATTCCTTTCCAATGTTTACGTGAACGATAATGGAAACGTCCACTGGCCATGGTTGCCCTCATTCGACTTCCTCCACAAACACATGCACTTCCCGCAGTAAGACTTTTTGGCAATTTTGTTAGATAGGGTGACTCTACGGGCACTCATTTAATGTTAAATGCCATCAGGGGTCTCTCTTCCCGCTTCTGCCAGGGGCTCTTCTTGTCCTCTCCTTGATCATCGTCGTCATCATCTTCATCGTCCTCGTGAGCAGATCTTCTCTGATCGGGGCTGGCTAAGGGCTCTGCGGGGACATCCGCAGTTCGTCTGGTGGTCTCCTCCTGCAGGCTGGGCAGCTGGCCGCCACTTCTCCGGCTAGAGCTGTCCAACAAGCATCGAAGGGCACTGTCATCGGGGGTGCAGACAGTGGTGCCACACTCGCTGCCACTTTGGTCCATGTCTTCCAGGTACACGAGCTGCGTGTAGGCAGTGCTGTCCGCCGCCCTCGGCTCCTTCTGAGAATGCTCCTGGACCGGTGGGTGGTTCTGCGGGAGAGACAAAGGATCTCCTCTTCCCTTCCGGGCAGATTTTGGTTCATTCATATCCACGCCAGAGTCCAAACTGGCATCATTACTTCCGTTCCTTCCAGCTCTTTGGAGATCTATGTAAGAGTGTCTAACATGCGCGTTGGACCTGCCGTCCAGGGAGACAAACCAGGCCCGGGGGTGTGGGAGCGGCTTCCCGCCGCCGAGTTCCATCAGGGCCTTCTCGGTTAGGAGCTGGACCTCGCTGTTCATCTGGGCCAAGGCCGCATCGTTCAGGGATGCTGGGATGGACAGAGACTCCGACATGGACGCGTTCTGCGGGCTCCACTCCCGGCTGCCTGCATCTTGCAAGTGCTGCTGAGAGATTGCCTGGCACGATAAGGGTTGGGCTTGGATCTGGGAGGAGGGGTGCGGGAAGATCCCCGCATGGGGGCTGGAGAGCTCAGCCTGCAGTCTCTCGATTTCAAGCTGCTGGTCTGCTGGGACGACCAGGGGCTGGCCCACGTATGAGTGGTCCCCAGGGAGTTTCATGTAGTGAGCGGGGATGACCAAGGCAGGCAACACTTTTCTGTAAACGCTGTCATTGACCTGGTCAACAGAACTGCAGCACACCAACTGGCCGGGCCGCGGAAAAGATGTAGGCCTTTCCAGGTGGTCTACGGATCTCGACATCATACATTCAGTAGGTCTGCGGTCAAGCAGCTGTTCTTTTTCGGGAGAGGAGGGCGTGGGGTACATGTGTTCCTGAATGGTAAGCTTACTCGCTGTGGAAATATGGGTAATGGAGGCCTGACTGTCTCTGTCTTGCTTCTCAAACAAAGGCTGTGACAGCATGGCATTGTAACTCCTCCTGTAGTCACTGCTGCCGGGGGACTCATAGCCTTCCCTCTCCACAGATTTCCTGGCCTTTAAAGGGAAAATCTCCACGGACTTATGGTAGTCTTTCCCCAGCGTCCCGCTTGTCGTCAGGTTATCAAAGGAGATCTGGCTTTTATCCTCTTCCTTATGCGACAGCAGCTCCTCCCGAGAGCTGAATTCTTGGGAGGTGCTGTAGGAAAGCTTTAGCATGGGGGTGTGCATGTCCACTTCTCCGTTGGAAGACATCATTTCCAAATGGACCCCGCTCATCAGCTCCTTGGTGCCCGGGGCGTCCGGGCGGCTGTGGCTGGTGACGGAGAGCGGGCCGGGGAATTCCGACTCCCGACGGGAGAACAGCAAGTTGATGTGAGACATGGAGGTGGACTGATCTCTTTTGGAACTCTCCAGGGCCGCGGGAAGCTGCAGTTTTCTGTGGTGCTGACGAGGTTTCAAGCACTTCCGCCTGAGATCAAAGAGACAACAATCCAAACCCACAGATTAAAGATGCTCATCATGGTCAAGTTCAAGTAAAACCCTAACTTGCAACTGCCAAAGAAAGAAACAAGACAACACAACTCATAGGCAGCGGCAGCCAGAAAGCCTGCTCTCCCCACACCCTCAGCCTTATTTTGATTCAGAGCAGCAAAATCCACGGACCTCACCCTCAGGCTTTATAAGTGTATCTGAATTATCCACTCACAAGCAGTTCCCCGAAGAAGAATCAACAACATTCTTGCAAACGGAACAGACGAGGCATCACAATAAAAATAGTTCTGCTTTGTCCTTGAGAATCTCATGTCTTAATCAGCATTTAGGGATATTCTGAACGAATCATAGGACAACTGTCAAACATTTCTTTTATAACACCTCTTCTAAGCAGTGTTATTTATATACAGTGTGCCTCCTGCGTCCTTTGTTCGTTTGCAAGTTAGATGACAAATGTTCCATTTGTTGACATTTTTTCATGAGGAAAAAAGGGACCTCAATCAGAGAGAGGGAAAAAAAGAGAGACCTCCACTTCAATGCTTGCACAAGACATTCTAAATGAGAACAAGATATTGCCAAAATGGTAAAACATTACCTGCAGTAATATAAAAGGAGACACAGCAAAACCAAAAGTATGAAAGCCATTCCTCCTAAAATGGCCAAAAGAAACACCGTGTGATACGTGGTGATGTCCTGTGTGACCACGGGACCTGGAAGGCCAGAAAAGGGCATTTTAGATTTGTGAACCCTTCAAGTATAAAGAGGGATAATGAATAAAAATCTCATGTTTTTATTACTCTTACGGGCCTGGAGCAGGGCAGATGCAAACACCCTTCAGATGATGTCACAAGGTCACTCAGTGCGGAGGGACGGCCACGCCGGCACTGAAGCGGCCATGGCCAGCGGCAGCCTGAGCACACGCACGCACTGCCTGCAGCCTGTCAAGGGTCCCTCCTTGGCCGAGAGAGCCACATCCATTCAGCATTCTGAACTCGTGAATTTAATAAAAGCAAATGGAAGCATGATAATATAATGAGTGGGGCTTTTATGCTCAGAGAGAGATGGCGTGGATGTCAAGAGATTTTATACTACAGAGAGAAAAATCACAAGATTTTATTCTCACTTTCACTGGGTGGTCATTACGAGCGTGCAGGCCCTTTGCCTGAATAAATGGGTTGTAGACCTACAAAAGAAACAGACCCTGACTTAAATCCATTGACAGCTTATTACAGGATGTCAAGTGTTTCTAAAGGCCTTCCATTTTTTTTAAAAATAAAATCTTCCTTTGCAGCGACTTTTCAAAATGATGAACCTTATGTGGCCACAGATCTCTCCAGAATTTATAGACCAGGTTATCAGAGATAAACAGACTTTCATTTATATTGTAAAAAATCTCAAGATTCTTTGACAAAGACTCTTTATGTTCAACGATGGTAAGGACGTATCTTAATGTCACTGACAGCAGACCCACTATGTTGGCAAGCCCCCTCCCCCAGGGCCAAATCACGCTCTCTGGGCCCTTCCTGGTGCCCAGGTGCCCTGGCAGGGCCCTGAGGGTGGGAGGGCAGGAGTGCGGTTTTCTGTTGTTTCAGAGTCCTAAGATTCTGATTACTAAATACCAAAAACACGCATTTGCTTATTGATTTTTGATATTCTAAGGGATAGATAGATTCCTTCAAAAATCTTTTGAAGGAGACAAATCTCTTAAAAGCTTAACAAGCCCAACAAGGTTTACTAGTTTTTGTGAACAGTGACATTACTGAAGTTCCCAGGATGACACCATCCTCTCTCACACATAATCCACTTCAGTGGGGTGGAGTTTACACTTACAAAAAGTCAGAAAAATGTCTGACAACTATATCCCACTTTAATCACTCAGAGAAACGACTGTGTTACACAAAGACACCCCCACAGGCATGGGGCGCACATAACAATCATTTCCGAATAACTGAAGCTCGATTCCTTTAAGTGCTTAAATGTTAGTATTTTAACTTCTGCCCGAGGAAACCTTTATACAATTCACAGGCATACTTTTTTTCCTTCTTAACTAGAGAATTAAAGAGGAAAGCCGTAATTACGTTCTTGTCGGTTCGGGGTTCATGAAGACACCGCCTCACTGTAATTTGTTTTAATAACAGCAATGGCTGTGAGATTAACAACATATGTGTTTCCACATTAAATGACATCAGGGGCTGTGCTATGCATGCTTTTTATAGATTTTTCCTTCCCTGCTAGGAAGCTCCAGCGGACCTACATCCAGCAGTTCTTTCTCCCCTCTTTACAAAAGCATCAATTAATCTGTCACATGACGGGAAAAGTGATGGCCAAGGTTGTTTGAAATAGGTCTAAAATGAAAGTTGACTTTAATGCATGGGCCTCGATTTGTGGTCTCCACTTCGGTACTTAAGGGAATTTCTTTTCTTCCGTACTTTTCATCATATTCTAGCGAGTTCCGATTTGGAGACTGGTTCACACCTATATTGCTACAAGAACAGTATCATAAAGGGAAACAGTCCGTAAACACAGACGTGACGTGTACATTTCCTCAGTATGGGACTATAAAGTAGATGGTGACGGATCTTTCCATACCCATCTAGGAATGGCCTCCGACAAATTAGTTGCTTCGGGAGTCTCAGTGTTCATCCCAGTGGTAATTCCATGGCAAAAATATTCTGGACTCCCAATTTGGAACTGCCTTCATGATTCATTTACAAGAGGCTCTTTTCAATCACAGCACACCTTGACCTAGGCTCAGTCACCCACTTCATTCGCCAGGCTGGGATGTGCATGACTTTTAGATGTACCCATGAAAAACCAAAGGAACCATCTGCGCATAAAGATGGGCTATCAGTGAAGAGTTTCACCAAGGAAGGCAGTCCAAGGGATACAGATTCGAAATGTATTTTGAGCAATGAAAGCCATCACTGGAAATAACTCTCCTAAGGTGACTATTTTGAAAAATGATGCTGGCCCTGGCTGGGTAGCTCAGTTGATTAGAGCATCACCCCAAAACGCTAAAGTCATGGGTTTAATCCCTGGCCAGGGCACATACAAGAGAGAACCAATGAATGCACAACTAAGTGGAATACCAAATTAATGTTTCTTTTTCTCTTAAACCAATCAGTAAAAAAAATTAAAAACAAAAAACCCCAATTCTGGAATGTTCACTGTGATAAATTAGGGCACAAATGTTAAAAAAAAAACAAAAAACTTTTAGTCACACTTTAAAAAATACAAGTTCATTCACATTTCCTAAACGGAGATGCATATTCTTCTAGACACGAAGCTATGGGTCGGCTCTGAAGCCTTTCGGAAATGCCGGATTGAGCCTTTGCCCCAAGAACTCCATGATGACTTTCTGTGAGTCCCTCCGTTGCATGCCTTTCCCTGCATGTTCGCTTACACCAGGCCACAGCTGTTCCAGGAATTAGGGAGGAGGTCTGAGCTGCCTCTGTGGGCTTTAGATTAAGAATTTCCTATGGCAGCTGTCTAAGAAAAACAGAGCCACGAGACAAGACGATTTTCTATGCATTATTCTTATCCTACACGGGAGAGTTCCAACCAGAACTCCCCCACCCCCATGAAATAACTTAGTTTCATCATTTGCTTTCTTAGACTCTCAACCATTCTTCAGTAAGATTTGATGTCACTGCTGAAATTATTTTCAAAAGCGTACCCAGCCTGACCCTCAAAGACATCATTCCCCGTGACTGCAGGCGCTGGCTTCACGTTACCTGGGTTGGGAGGAGGCATGGCCGCCACCCAGTACCCCAACTGAGGGGCGATGTACGTCCACGTCAGCTGGCTGCCCTCCTGGTGCACGAGGCCTAGACCACTCTTCAGCCACGTTCCTGTGGGGTGCAAAGAAAAACTTCAGTTCTAGGCATGCTAACCTCCGGTTTAATTAAGGCTTAGGCATGTTGTACAAGTCACCTTAAGTGTCACGTTCATAACCAATTAGGTGGCCAAAATAGGCTGCATGCAGCTTTCTGTAGAGATTCCTCTCATCTTGTTTCACTTTAGATTTTCTTTGCCTTCCTTATTATACCCCCTTCAACAACTTTATCAAACATTCCTGCTTCTAAACACAGATAATTTTAGCAGAAGTCTTTGGAGCTTAGGAGGAGAATAAAGGTAGCATGACAGGGGTTGGTGGAAGTGGAAAGTGGGAGAAATCCAGCGCTGTTTATATTATTTAACCTCAAACGAGTGAGTGAATTTCCTATCTGGAGTCATAGATTGGCTACATCAGAACTGCCTAGGAAAGTTTTTTTTTTTTAAATATATACATAGATTCATTGGTCCGTCTTTGCAAATACTGACCCAGAAAGCCTGATGTAGGTGAATATTTGCAGAAACTTCCAGTTGGTCCTGGTGCTGGAAGGACACGAGTAAGTCCAAGTCTGTGTTCTTTCAGTTATTATTTTGACTCATATTTAACATTAATGAGAACCTACTATGTGCTGGCTAGTCACAGTAGGTACATTTTATAAACACTCATCCCTCGCTCAGTATCCGCAGAGGATTGGTTCTGGACCACCAGATACCAAAATCCAGGGATGCTCCAACCCGACGTTAAGAACAACGCACACAGCTGACGCTCCGCATCTGTGGACGCCCAAGCTTGAATCGAAAATATGTACAGTGGGAACTCGGTTCTTGAACTGAATTCATCCTGGAAAACTGTTCAGTAAGCGATTTGTTCAAAAAACGTATCTTCTTTGTCACCTGAGACATGTGTGACTGATCAGACAGGTATCAGCACGAAAAAGGGTTGTAGGTAAGAATCGAGACCTGAAGTCTTGTTTGACAACTGAGACATTTTTTCCATGATTAACTTGGTCGAGAATTGCAGTGTTGAGAACCAAGATGTTTGAGAACTGTGTTTTGACTGTACTGTTTTCAGTCTGTGGTGGGTTGACTCCACAGATGCAAAAGCCATGGATACAAAGAGCTGGTAGTACTTCATCTCTAATTCTCACAACCCTGTGAAGTTGGACTTTTTCCCTTTTCGAATGAGGACACTGAAGACTGGTGTGGTATGAAACTCTTCCAGGGCCTCCCAGTGGTCGGAGTGGAGCAGGGCGCCTAGGGCGGAGCTTCCACCCAAGGCCACTGCTCGTTCTTCGGCTCTCCCGCGCTGCATCCCAGATGACTTGAATAGAAACACTTCGATGAGTTTTTCACTTTTAGGGTTTCTAGGAACAGACTCATTGACCAGTCGTTCAGCTGTCACCCATCTTATCTGCAGAGAACCTCACTCTGAGACCTGTGATGGAGTCTGGCAGCAGAGACAAGGGAGTGTGCTGGCCAGGCCCCCCAAGGGCACACGAACACTTGCCCCACCAACCAGCAAAGACACTGGCCATCTCTGCAGGCTCCTGCTCCGCCTCAGCGCCCACGGTGCTCCTGCCCAGCTCAGCTCCCTCCTGCTTCATCCACCACCTGAAATAGCCCTTGTCCACTTGAATACTAAACACACCAACTGTGCACCAAACAATCTACCTTCCAGGCTCCAAATCCTTGCCTTGCCTGTGTACACATATCACAGAGGTGGCAATCATGAATTTTTTTCCTTCCTCTTGAAGAAAGAAATAATAGTTGGGGCTGCTTCTGGAGGCTTATCAGTTGCCATAGCAACACTCAAATGCAGTGGGAGGAAAGGTGCACGGTGATGCCTCCAAGCTTGTACACCTCTGCTGACTGCAGCTGAACAAAGAACTGGAGAAGCCAGGGCCAGCAGGTGCCTTGCACCGTCTGACTGTCCTGTGCAACAGGCTGAATCGTGGCTACAGGCGCTTCCGCTCAAGTTAGATGACAGTACAAACTGGAAGGTTTCCAAAATGAGTATGAGAACAAAGATGCCTAATTCCAATCCTGCTGAACATCAACCCAGAGATGATTAAGCCGCTCAGTGCATCACTTACTTCTCGGAGGCTAACAAGGAAACAGACGCAGAGGACGCATGACACAGGAAGTGAAAGGGTTTCTGTATTTGGTACCAACACTTCCTTGAAGGTAGAGAACGAATTGCTTGTGACTGTTTCCAGTTCTCCCTGCCCTCTGGGACCCCACACTGAATAGCTCACAACTTACATACCACACCCCACTCCCACACACGCTCTCCCACAATAGCAACCCTGCTGGGATCTCCATATCAGCCAGGAAGTGGCTGCACATTCTTTGGTTTAGTTTTTCCCGGATTAGAGTCTTGAGTCATTGCTCTTCGAATGGAGCGGATGCTAGGTTAGGCTAAAGGGGACCCACAGGGAAAGGCCTGGAAGCTCAGAGTCCTAATTCCTGTACACTAGAGGGCAAACTGCCTAAATGGGTCACTAAGTTGTCTCTGCCTTCTACACCACAACACGGCATTGGGAAACACTTTACAAACACCTTCCAGTTACACTGGGGGTAAGCTTCGTGGGTGGACACGCACACTCCATTCAGGCAATGAGTCCCTACATCCAGCCTAGAGGGCCCTCTGTCCAGCGGTGGCAGCGGTGATGATGCTGGTGGGAGCCAGAGAGGCCAGTGACTAAAGGACAAGCAGCTGCTTTGGGAGCACAGGGAGGAAAGAGTGCTGCCTGGGGTGCGCAGAGAAGGCTTCCAATGGAGTTGAGCTTCTATGGCAGGGCTGTCAGTTGGGGGTGGAGCAGAGGGAAAGAGGAGAGAACTGCATGCAAGAAGGCTTGCAAGATGTAGTGGGTGGGATGGAGGTGCAGGGAGGGAGGGAGCTGCTGGCAGGTGCTGGAAAGGAGTTCAGTGCCTGCTTGCCAACAGCTGGGCTCGGCTTCAATGCCATCAGCAATGGCAGGCCACTGGGACCCGGAAGGGGAGGCACAGCTGGTGGAGCTCTTCTCACTGCCTGCGCCTCTGCCACCGCTCCCACCCACTTAGCACTTCCTGCTCCATCTGCATCCGCTCTTCAACCCAAGCCTGTGTGTGACCTGGCCAACAACTGTTGCTTCACCCTCACAGTTTTTCTCTTTTCCAAAAATCTACCAATCTTCTAAGATTCAAGTCACACCATGCATTTTCCCAAGTTCCCCCAGCACTCAAAAATCTTCCAAAACTGTGCCCTCCCAGGGCACGTCTTCCTGCATCACTGACTTTCCAGAAACATCTGCCCCCCATTGACCTGCCTCACCTCCTCTCTCAGACCAGGGGTTCTGCATAAGAGGGCCAGGTCTTAGCTTCCTTTGTCTTCTTCTCAGCACACAGAAATCTCCTTGGTGTGGGAGCTCAGCAGTACTTAATGAGCAGTGAGAGCCAGATGTGCAACTTCAAAAATAACACCAGACGACCTTCCGTGGAAAGCTGGGCATGGCCAGCAGGCAAGATCTCCTGACAAAACTGAGGTTCAGATGGTGACGCCACCCTTTCCAACTAAAGGGAACAGAGCCAGCTGAGGAAGAGGCATTGCTTTTGGCCTACGTTTTCTGTAAAATGTACCCATATTCAGGAATAGAGGGTGACGCTACTGGGATTCAACGACCATGCAAGCGTTGTTTTGTAGGAGCAAATAAGCTACAGGGAACACGAGAGTGAAAGGACTGCGTACTAGAGACTATGCCTCTCGTGACCCAATGCTGACGCTGCAGGAAGAGGACGCTTTCCCCAACTGAGCAGTTGGCCCAGAGGGGTTTCTGGTACTCACGGCTGGGGATCTCGTGCCTGTACCCTCCTGGTGACACCAACAGCAAAGCACAGAGCTCTGAACAGTCTCCTTGGTTTGATGAGGTCATGTGACTGCTGGACCCAATTTGGCCAGGCTGCTTAGCGGGGGACCCTCTCTCATTCACGTGGGGCCCCAGACATGGCTCAGACAGAACTATAGAGGGACTGGGTTGCTCCTGTTGTGTGGATGAAGGAAAGCTCCAAAGTAAGGCCTCTCTGCTTGTTCTCCTTGTCTGCTGGATGGGGCAGCCGCCACCTGCTCCCAGGTCAGAACAACTGCCTGAAGGCCTGTCCTGACTAAGCCAGTTTCCTCTGTGGTCCAGACACAGAGCAGCCCCTGACGTCATCACAGCAGCCCAACAGCTGCTTCTTCCTTGTGCTTCATCCCCATGCTTCTCTTTCTCCTTGCTCCGGACTGGTCCCTCCCAGCCTCTTCTCATCACTCCCTTTGAGGTCTTGCTACTGACTCATTCAGGGTCCCCTTCAAAGGTGGGCAGATGCTGGGAACTTGCTGTGTGTCTGGGCAGATCACCTGATGCAGGTGTGCATGCAGAACCCTGTGCTTCCTTGTGTCTGTCCCACAGGCCCAGCCAGGGGGCCACCTTCTTCACGCACAGCTGCTCCAGCTCAGAGCATGGCCGACTATCAGCTGGGTCACCTGGGAGGAGGCTGGTGGCCAGGAGCGCCTCTTTGCTCTGCCCAAGGTCTGTGGCATGTCTATTTGTGGGACCGAACGTGTGTGGAGGTTATGCAGCAATCCTTCCGGCATCATCACCATTCGGAAATTCTGCATGATGGAAATTTCTAGTCCCATGGTTTCCAGATAGTTTTTAAAAGCATCTGAACTCTATAATGCTCTTAATGTAACCTTAAGCCATAATTAACATACAGAACAGATCAAAGATAAGCCTCCCTGGGAGAAGGTGAAGAGAACCCCCTCTCCCGACAGCAACTCCCGACATCTCCTGAACATGGCTCGCGAGTTGTTTTTTGTATAACTTGGTTCTAATTTGCCATCATTTGAAAAGGCAGTGTTATATCATTCTAAAAAGCATCATTTACTCCTGCCTTATAATACAGAATATAATTTTGATTTTTCCTGATAGCTCAGGGTCATGATTATGACAGACTACCATGCGAGGCTCTAACAGACGGCTGTCCTTCAGTCCCTACT